AAATTCCAGAGCTTATGGCATTGCTCTGGCTTACTAGAGCCTAACTTTGACGTAATAAGTTTAGCCCATTCGTTTGTTAGTTTTAGTTGTATTGTTGTTAATGGTTGGGCCACCAATAACTTGGGCCACGCCTTTTTATTTTTTATCCTTAGTTAGTTTGGTTAATTTTCCGTTATCCTTAAGTTGGTTTGGGATTAATTCATTTCCTTATCCTTTAGTTAGGTTTGGATTAATAATTCCTTATCCTTTAGTTTGTTTGGATTAGTTAGTTCCTTATCTTTAAGTTGGTTTTGGATTAATATTCCTTATCCTTGTTGGTTTGGATTTAATTATTTCCTTATCTTTAGATTTGTTTTAGATTTAGCTAATATCTTTTAGTTGATTTGGATACTAGGTTTAATCCTTATCCTTACAGTTGTTTAAGATTTGTGTTGTCTTATCCTTTAGTTGGTTTAAGATTTAGCTTAACATCCTTATCCTTAGCTGATTTTTAGATTAATTATTTCTAAATCCTTTAAGGATCAGGGACCTCTTAGGATCTTAGTATTTAGATAGCTTGTTATATGTGTAATTAGAAACATTCAATCAGTCAATGAATCGAATTGTTCAAACTTCATGCTTAAGGCGTGTTCTTGCTTTTAGAGAGATGTGAGACTTGCATTCTTCTAAGTGTGAGATTGCATTCTTCTAATTGCATCAAGAATCAAGGTAAACTTATCAATTCACCTGTGGCGTTTATCTTATTCTTTTTCTCTATTGTTGGTATTCTTGCTTCTTTAAGCTTTGGGTGCCATAGAGGGGAGTTTAGTTTGATCTTGGATCTCTTCCAAATCTTGTTATAGAGTTCTTGGAATAAATTTCCATAGGGTTCCACGTCAATCATTAGAAGGTCAAAAACACAATGTAGCATAGTGAGAGTCAGGGGAGTCCACAGCCAGGCCGTGTTCTCTGATATAGCCATGTCAGCAAGCCACATCTCACAAGTTAGGGGACTACACGGCCTGGGCGTGTCAAGCAACGCGGCCGTGTAATCAGTGTTTTCCAGTTACGAGATTTCATGCTTTTTAAGCCTTTAAACATGCCAAATCGATTCTTCCTCTCAAAAACCAAATATTAACACATAAAACTATATTCAAGCATGCTAAATAAAGGTAAAAGCACTCAAAGAAACACCAATATGTCATTCATAACACCAACTTCAATTAATACATATGTCATTCATAACACCAACTTCAATTAATACAATCAAATTCACAAAATCTCCCAAAATATACTCATGATAAAAAAAACACAAACATCACTCAAAAAAAAATCAAAGTAAGCATATACTTGTAGAGCACTAACCTCAAAATCGCACAATAGCAAACCAAACTTCACAATTATCCTTCCTTTTGCCCTTATCAACCTAAGAAGGTTCACCCTTCTCTATAGGCACGAAAACCAAAAACAAAACATAACAAATCAACCATTAGAGATTTGAAATCTCTTCACAATACCGACTCCAATAATATAATCAGATTAGAGAACAATATACGGATTGCAAAACTGTTACCTCCATTATGGAATGCCTTATGTGATCATAGTATAATTGCACCTTAATCTTCTAACTTCAATCACTATTCTAATATTACTAACTCTCAATTTGTTATTTGATTGCAGATTCTAATAGTGGAAATCACAAGAATAGAAGAAGGGCTTCCTATTCTCCCTTTCTTTTCTCTCTTGTGCATGTGTGTGAAGAGGGGCGACACTCTCTTTTCAAAAGAGAGTCTCCACCACTCTTCTAGTTTTATGTTAAAATATTTCTTTTTCTTTTTTTTGTACACAAAATGGCTCATTATTAAATAAGACCACTTATTTAACAAAAAAAAAACCCATTTAATAAAATGTCCACAATCAATAAATATGATTAAAACTATATTTCAACAAATAATTCCTTTTAATAATAATACATAATAATAATTATCAATAAATCATATTTTATAATTGACAATAAATACCAAATTAATTATTTTAATGCCCAATAAATAGGGAAAAATCATATCAATTCAGGAAAATATTCTAAAATCAACTTCACATCATTTTCAATCCCAATTCCAAATATCTAGGTGCAATTAGAACTGTATCATACTAAATTTCATAACTAGGCTTCCTAAGGTACAACTTCAAAATTCACAATCCAAAAATCATCTAATGCATGAACGATCAAACAAATAACATGCAATGCATGAATCACAATTAGACAGAATAATTATTAAAATAACTTATCAGTATTGAAAATCATACCAAAATCCCAATTTGGTATCAATTAGCATTTCATTAAGCTATTATTCATAATTCTAAAAATCAGGGCGTTACACATGGACTCAAAGAATTAAAGAAATTATGTTGGTGCTGACTCTTCACTCTCGAGCCGACCTGTCATAGAACCTCTCTTATGTACGAGTCGTAAATCACGTTTCCGACTCGCCACATACAGTTTATCCTACCATCATATCTCTATATTACCATAATATCAATAAACTTTAATCACACAACTATTAACAAATATTCAACATTAAATTGCTAAGAACCATACAATCACTCTTATTGCATATAGCTAAGATTTATATTTTTATTATTATTCATCTTAAAGACACAACAAATCAATAGTCAATTGTACAAATATCTAACCAATAACACCAAATACAATTCGAAACATGAAAATCTCCAAAACGTCATTATGATCACAAATCACAAACATCAATTAAATTTTGAATTAAACATATCAATGAAGAGCACTAATCTCTAATCGCACAATGAAGTGCTTAATTGCTATAATAAGGTCTTCTCTTGCCTTTATCAACTTTCGAAGGTCCACGCTTCTTTAAAATCAACACAAAAAATATAAATTCGATTTATGATCTAATTAACTATTCTAAAGCTACATGATTTAATAAAAACAATGAAACTTGAAAAACTGAAAGCGGATACCAGATAAGTTATACGGACACTTACCAAGAATAATAGCATGCTTTTGATTTTTCTTTGGTCAGTAAACCAATTCATTGCTTAAATCCTTGCTATTTGATTACAGATTATGTTTTTATTAAACCCGATTGCAGTATAGTATTTTAGAAAAAGTGAATCGATCAAAGGAAGAAGAAGAGTTTGTTGCCTTTGTGTTTGGAAAATAAAGAGGCGCTCACTCTACAGCAAATAGAGGCTGCAGCCTCTTTTATTAGTTTAGGTTTAGTTTTCTTGATGGAGGTCCATCTAGCCTAGCCTTACAAGCTGTCCTAGACATGGGCCTTGGCCTTGATTCCATTAGTGAAGTTAATAAAGACAGTCCAAGTGAAGATGGGCTTGGTTGGTGAGTGATGTCTTGGAAGCTGCACGGCCTCTTTTAGGGCCTATTTGGGTTCTTCAAACATCATCTTTTTGAAGACAATAATCTAAGAGCATTGTGATAATGATCATGAATCCAGCTCATTGTGTTGTTTTCAAACTTAGTTTAGGTGTATCTTTGAAATGTGCTTTTGAATGAGTTCATTTCAAACTGAGTTAGGTGTCTTTGAATAGGTTGTTTTTCAACCTTAGTTGGTGCATCTTAATGAATGTTTGTTTTCAACCTAGTTAGGTGTCTTTGAAATTTGTTCTTTGACAACCATTCAAAGGGAGTTTATGGTTCTCATTTGTCCCTATATAAAGGGATTTTTTGTGTAGTTTTGAAAGGGAGATTTGGAATAACAAAAATGTTAATCACATTTGGGGTTTTATTAGTTTCAAACTATTGGGTTATTGTTTTTTTTCAAAAACACTCATCTTTTTTTCATTTAAATCTATGCACATCAACTATCCTTGCTACTGTAGCACGGATGCTTCTGAGTTCCTGTAGCAAGTTACTGTAGCACTCGTGTTTCTCTATCAAAACCATAGTCCTTTCCACCACGCCATCATTTCTTTTTTTTGCCCCCCTAAAGTTGGGGCGCACCCTTTAGGAAAATAGGAAAATATTTAAAAACCATTTAATTAAAGGAAAATTAGTTAAATCAATTTTAATTTAAAATACATACTAATTAATAGTAATAAATCATATTTTAACAAATAGATACTCAATAAATAGGAGAAAATACTATAAATTCTAATAAAATTTATTTCAAGCTAAATTTTATTTTCTTTAGTGGTAATTGAGATAACAGTGTCCAATTAACATACTATTAATTTCAGCGCACTCAAAAATTACGAATTAAAATTCTATGAAGTAAAATCTTACATACAATGCAGAAATCACAAATAAAACTCAAAATTTATAAAATAATTTATTCGAATGAAAATCATATCAAAATTTTAATTTGATATAAATTATCGATGTATCATAACTCTAGAAATCACGGTGTTACAGTATAACCGAGAGAATCATAATATCTGGTGAACTATATATTGACGCTTACACTATTACAGATTGAGCTCTATATCACAAAATAGTCCTTGGTAAATTATACGTAGGTCTTTACATATTACATAGTCTATCATTAATTAATAACAATGATAATGACACATCACCTAAATTGTCAACTCTTTCGCACTTATGCTATGTTACTCTCTTATTGTCAATAAAATTATTTATTATTTATTATTAATTTAATTAAAGCATTTATAAAAATGTGTGAAAGAAACGACAAAACAAATTGAGCGATGGCAAAGTTACGCCACAGCTTTATCCACAGGTTGAAGACTTTTTCGACTACGTTCGTCGAACCTGAGTTCAAAAAAAAAAAAAAAAAAAAAAAAAAAAAAAAAAAGGAGGAGGAGAAAGGAGGATGAGCCATTGGTTTGCTAGCAAGCAACACGCAAGGATGCTGGACGACAGCCATGATGTCACAAAACGACTTCATCTCCAAGACTCCGCTAAACGACGCATCGTCAAGCCAATTCTTTATTATTCTTATTATTATTATTATTTATTATTTAAAATTTTCTTTAAACATCAAGTCAGTAACAAACCCTCTTTCTCTCTCTCTCTCTCTCTCTCTCTCTCTCGCTCTGTTTCCTCGAAAGCGAAAAATGAAGTTTCGACCCAAACACATTTGGCACGTGCCCATGAATTCATCTATGCCCACTTTGTTTTGATATTTTACTATCTTCTCTCTTTCTTTTCTCTTTCCTCGGAATCAGAAAATCCAAGAACACTTCTACTTTTGGTGTTGGTACTTGTTTCTTGTTTCTTGTTTTAGTTTCATTTCTGGGTAAATCTTGGGATAGATCTGTGTATTTTCTTTTTGGGTTTTTTTGGGATCACTTAACCCTTTTTTTTTTTAACTTAACCTTTTGCCTTTTATTTTAAGTTTTATATATTTTTTTGGGTAAATCTCAACACAAAATTTTGTTAATATTAAGAAATTTACAGGATATTTTCATATGTATAGAGTTGTTATGTTTTTTGGTTTTTGTAGCGTGTTGACTTGGTCTTTGAAATTTAAGCAAGAAACTTCTTGCCCCCTGTTGGTATTATAGGGGATATGAAATAAAGTCATTAGCAAAAACTTGACTTTTCAATTTCAAGGTTACTAGTTTTAGTGCTTTGATGGATATGATAATGGATTTCAATAGAAGAGCATGTTTGGTAGCAATTTTTCAACTTTGGTTATGTTTGTATCTCCAATACCCATTTTGAAATTCAGAAAAAATGATTTCTTTTTATTTTAATTTTCTGGTTTCTGAATGTCATAAACCCTTATCGTGTAGCTTCTGTATGTTTTGCAATTTTTTTTTCTCTTAGATAGATACTTCGATGCATCGCCATAGATTTTTTCGCCTATTAAAATCTTTAGGATTATAAACTTCACAACAAGGTAGCTATGTTTAATGGATGATGGATCACGGGTTCAATATTGGAAATCTTTAATAAGAGTTCTCTAAGTAGATTAATGGCTAATTTGTCTGAGCCATCATCATCTCTATCATCTCTGAGCTTTACTTCATCTTCTCATGTATCGAATAGCTCTATTAGTCAAAATATATCCTCCTCCTCAGGCTCTGATGCTAGGCCAAGTCTTGACGTGATTAGTTTAACCAAGCTTAGCTCCAGTTTGGAGCAGCTCTTGATAGATCCTAGCTGTGATTATAGTGATGCTGAAATTATTGTTGAAGGAAAACCTGTTGGCGTTCATAGGTGTATTTTAGCTGCTAGGAGCAAGTTCTTTCATGAGTTATTTAAGCAAGAAAAGGGATCTTCAGACAAGGGAGGGAAGCCGAAATATGAGATGAGTGATCTTTTACCTTACGGGAAGGTTGGATATGAAGCATTCCTGATTTTCTTGAACTACATGTATACTGGAAAACTTAAGCCATCACCAATGGAGGTATCAACTTGTGTTGATAACGTATGTAGTCATGATGCCTGTAGACCTGCAATTAATTTTGCAGTGGAATTGCTGTATGCTTCGTCCATATTTCAAGTACCAGAGCTGGTTTCACTTTTCCAGGTTAGTGCATTGTGTATTATGTTTAAATTTTTACTGAGAAAGAGGATTTGATGATGGATTTATAATATGCATTGATGATTAATTCATTTGATTGAGTGTTGCTTATTATTTATGCATTTCAGCTTAAATTTTTTGAGGAATGATACTGTAGGGTCTATTTACACTAACTGGTCTATGTGCTGATTTAGTTGAAATATATGAAAATTATAGTGTGCGGTTTTGGTTTCTATTTTTCATTTGAATGGTATCATAGGTTTCAATCTAAGAAGGCACTCTGTGCCTCTATTCTGGACCCATGAGTGCTAATGCTGAAGACTGATAAATAATTTGGGAATAATAGTTTATGCTTGCATTATTAATTCATTATTTATCCTCTGAAGGTGCCACATCTTTTATGAGATAAACTTGACGTTCTGACAAGAAAGATATAGGTTGATTTGGGCTCTCATTTTTATTTGTTGAACTGCATTTTAACATTCAGCTAGAGGTTACAGGAAATTGTAGTAACAAACTACTCTATATTTGCAGAGACGCCTTCTCAACTTTGTTGGTAAGGCTTATGTGGAGGATGTAATACCAATCCTTGTGGTTGCCTTCCATTGTCAATCAAATCAGCTTGTTGCTCAATGTGTGGATAGAATAGCAAGGTCGGATCTTGATAACATGTCAATAGAGAGAGAGCTTCCCTATGAAGTTTCAGAGGATATTAAGTTTCTTCGAAAAAGACCCGTGTCTGAGGATGAAGAAAACACTGAGGCTGTGGACCCTATGCATGAAAAGAGAATTAGGAGAATACATAAGGCATTAGACTCGGATGATGTTGAACTAGTAAAACTTCTATTGACAGAGTCTGCGGTAACGTTGGATGATGCCCGCGCTCTTCATTATGCTGCAGCATATTGTGACCCCAAGGTTGTGTCTGAGGTGCTTAGTCTTGATCTTGCTGATGTTAACCTCACAAACTCACAAGGTTACACAGTTCTCCATGTTGCAGCGATGCGAAGAGAACCATCAGTCATAGTGTCCCTCCTTGCAAAAGGGGCTTGTGCCTTAGACTTAACATCAGATGGGCGAAGTGCTGTTAGCATCTGCCGGAGGTTGACAAGACCAAAAGATTATCATGCTAAAATAGAGCAGGGGCAGGAAGCAAATAAAGATCGACTGTGTATTGATGTCTTAGAGAGAGAAATGCGTAGGAACCCAATGGCCGGAGATGCTTCTATCACTTCTCATACAATGTCTGATGATCTGCACATGAAGCTTCTGTACCTGGAGAACAGAGGTACTAGTCTGCACATGATATTTGGTTTGTCCATCATTTATGATTCCTTTCTCAACAGGACGACATTTTATGATTGGATTACATTGGATTGAAGTTTATTTGTATTTTTTTGGGGTGTATCTTTGTTTGCTTTCATTAATCTTGATGATTTTCTACCATTAAACAATCACATTGCTTAGTGTACTAAGAATCTCAACTATGATTTACCAAAACCAATTGAAAGTGTTGTGTTATTTCTTGAGTCTTTTCTCATCTATGACCATAATAATGCTTATGCAGCATTAAGAAACTTAGATGTGGAGATTACAAGATTTTGAATGCAAGCAAAATTATTAAATGTCGATGACTTGTCTGTTTGCCAATTTCGTTTTTGTACACCTGTAAATTTGATTCTCTTGATAGCAATTAATCTATGAGTTATTTATCCGACTGTATAACATGTGTTAAGCAAATCAACATATTGAGTTATTGTCAATAACATTCCAGATGATAATAAGCAACACGGCTTCTAGGTGATAGGAGCCATTTAGATGAATTTGTGGTGTTTGTTTCTCCATATGAGCTTATGGTTGCTTGGTTGCATTGCGCTTGTCATATTCTGCCAATGGTTTTGTCTCACTTATCCAAAATATTGAGATATCTTCCCTTTTCATTTTTCATTTCATAATTTACCCCATAGGCTTGGTAGAAATTGCTGTTGTCTCGATTAAGCATTTGATGCTTAGAAAATTGAAGAAAGGTTGCATCTATAAAATGGTCTAATACTAGTTATGAAGTCCTTTGGTAAAGTTAAATGGATGTTGGTCATTGCTTGTTCTCAAATATATTAATCTATATACTCTTCATTGTGAGTCAGTGGCATTTGCACGATTGTTCTTCCCCACTGAAGCTAAGGTGGCAATGGATATTGCGCATGCCAAAACAACGCATGAGTTTGCTGGCCTCTCTGCATCAAAAGCTAATGGGAATTTGAGAGAGGTTGACTTAAATGAGACACCAATAACACAGAATAAAAGACTTCTATCTAGGTTGGAAGCACTTATGAAAACAGGTATTGCAGTCCATAAATATGTTTGATATTACAGCCTACTGTTCCCTTTCTTGCCTATGTATGATAGTTTCTTGTTTGCCTATTATTTTATTTTCGGCAACAAAGCCATCAAGTTACTCCATGTGATGAATTCTCTGTAATCTGTAATCCGTTTGGTTTGGTTTGGTTTGGTTTACATTGTAGAAAAGTTTGGTTTATTCGGTGTTGAACGGTTTGGTTTAGTTTTGACCAAACCGATAGTTGGCACACCCCTGGTCAAGTGCCTATCTAGTTGTGTAACTTTCAGGGGTTCAAATGCTTACATTTGAATTGTTCATAGAAACAATTTCATCAAGTTCTGGCTCAAGAATAATATCAAACAACACTTGCTTCCCCTCCTTCACACTGCATTTTCTTTGATAATATGATGATTATGCTATTCTGAATTGTTGTCACAATTGAAGGATCTTAGTCATGTGCAGTTGTTTCTATCAGTACACGTCTTTTGATTTCATGTTCCGTTGACTCGCTCTAATTCTTGATAATGATAAAACGGCCTACCAACTTCTTTTGGCTTTTTCTTGGTAGGTAATATTTGTCATGTTTCATGGGATATTCTGTGTGTAACTTCCGTAAGTTTTTACATGGTTCCATAACTACTTCTATCATCCATGTTTTGATAAGTTAACCATTGGATTAGCCCTCTATGCATGCGGGATATATACTGATGAAAGTCCCATCTGTGTTATGGCAATAAAACTTTTTTACTTTACTTGCAAATTTAGTTGAAGTTTAAATACTCTGGAAAATTATGACTACACAAGGCGTTGCACAATTAATAAGGTATTCAGTTACAGTATGAATTACAAGCTTTGCTTTACGTAACTTTTTCCTATAAGCTGTTTTATTTTATCATGGCAGTGGAAATGGGTCGGCGATATTTCCCCAGTTGCTCTGAAGTGCTTGATAAGTTCATGGAAGATGACCTTCCTGATCTGTTTTACCTTGAAAAGGGCACCCCAGCTGAACAAAGAATCAAGAGGATGCGCTTCATGGAGCTCAAGGAAGATGTTCAGAAGGCCTTTAATAAGGATAAGGCTGAGCGTTCAGTGTTGTCGTCCTCATCGTCCTCATCTTCTCTAAAAGATGGCACTAGTAACAAGCTCAGAAAACTGTGAAAACGTGTAAAATATGTTTTAATAAGCGGTTGTAACTGAATAGTAGGTTTTGGGAGGGGAGAGTCTTCAAGTTTTGGCTCTGGTTGCATAATTTTAGCTTGTGGGCAAACTGGGTTCGATGAGCTAAAACTCTCTGCTTATACCTTTTGACAATTCATAGAAAATTTTCGTTTCTTACCTGTAAGAACTTCGATTATAGAAATTTACAGTTGATTCATTCAAGTCTAGAACCGTTTACATTTGGTTAGATCAGAAAGTAATGGTACAGGTTCATTGACCTTATTTTGAAGATATAGGTTCATGTTGTGACTTGTGATGTGATATATGCTCTCCTGCTCTAGACAAACATATTCTGGAAAGGATTAGATTCTAAGCACCTTTTGCTTTTTTATGGGTCATCTGGTTATACAACGGCATACGCAAAAGCAGTTAGATTCCAACCACATTGCATTTCCATGACAATGGTGCATAGAACACTTATTCTGTGCTGCTCAACCAATTAGACCTTTTTTGGGGAATCAAAATCAGATTTTGTATATCTATATAGAGGAATTGAGGAGGAATCAACCATTGACGACTGCAATTTAGGCACAATAAAAGCGCTATTTTATTATTCATGGCCTGTACTCGCAAAGGATATTATTCTTACCAAGATTTTCTTTTTTTCTTTTTATATTTTTTTTGGTTATTTCGTTTTTGTTCATACATGTTCACAGTTATCACGTCTCCACTAGGCACCTATGTATAGTGTTAAATGGGCTTAATTTCATCAGGCACCCCTCGCTTTAGAGGGTAATCTCTTTAATGTCTTATATCTTCATTTTGTCTCTTAAAACTACCTAAGATTAGCAATTTGTAACAGTAAAAAGAATATGGCTGGAAAATCGTCGGATAATCCAATTTGTAACAGTAAGATAAACTATTATTCCCTCCGTCCTAAAAAGATAATCCACTTTCTATTTTCACACATATTAAGAAATATGCTTAAAGGACAATTTTATTGATATAACTTTCATATTTTGCCCATCTTAAACAATATATGAGTTTTGAAATAATAACTAAGAATTAATGGGGTTATTGAAAATAATGTAAAATTTAATAAAAGTATAGTAAACAATTTAATGATTAACTATAGTGCAAAAAAAAAAAAAAAGGAAAATAGACTATATTTTGTGACAAACTAAAAAGAAAAGATGATTTATTTTTTTAGGACTGAGAGAGTAATATTTTTGCCACATAAGCAAAGGGTTGTTAGAAATTATTTTTTCACCCGAGACATCTATGTTGTTGAAACTTACTATGTTTTATAGGTTACGTTTTCTCACTGTACTGTTTTACTTACTCCCAATCAATATTTATATATTGCCAATAAAAATTATAATTATAATCTATCGGTAAAGTTTTCTTTATATCTTATCGAATTTATCTCGAATTAAAATATTTTCTTTTTATTTATAAAAATAATTTTATTCAATAGTCTCACAATTTCATAAGGTTTAAAAATATCAATTAACTTTATAACGTGTGAAATTTATTAAAAATCACTCTAATATTACTAGCATATAAATAATTATTACTATTTAAAAATTTTTTTACCATTTATTTGATTTAAACTATTTATAATACAATATTTATTTTCAATTATTTGCCAAAATTATTATCATAGTGAAATTTATAAGTAATAGTATTTTTTATTTTAATAAATTCTACTATTTTCAATATTTTAATTTACATATATTATTTTTAATAAAAACTATTAATTTTAGATTATTTTTGTCACAACCCGTTTCCGTGGGCCGGACCGGCACTAGGGCCCAGGTAAGCTTAAGGCCCCCGAGACCCGTAGTAAGCCTAAATTATCCAATCCAATCTGTCTAACCTATCTTGGCCCAATTTAATTCATTCAAAAACAATAAGGCCCTCAATCTCCAATAACACATAATATCTAACCAAGGGCCCTATTTTCACAATAAATTATAATCACACTATGGGCTTACTTGGTTCACCTGCAAGCTAATTACATTAATAGTTTAATTTATAGTGTAGTGTTAACAATAAGTCCAATAGTAATACCACAAACTATAATGTATGAGTTCAATAATAATCTGATAATTAGGTAACTTATACATCCAAAATTAAATAACAAGAAATATAAAATTTACATTTAAAACTCTGCGGAGAAGATTGCAGAGCTTCAATCAAATCAACTGCTTCCTAGTATCCTGGGAGCGTTTTGGAGGAGAAGGGGGTGAGTTGCAACTCAGTGAATTGTAACACCCGCCGCCCGATCCGAAAAGACCCGAACGGGTGGGATGCCACATCGGTGCCGGAGGCACCGTCCCTAACCTATATATAAATCAAACAATCATATATGAATTAGAAGGACTTAGTATTCACAAGTTTAAGCAAGTAATAGTATCTGTTTGAAAATTGATTTGGGAGAATCCTTACAGAAAACTGCAAGAGTTTCCCCTAAAAATAGAGTTGCCAAACATTATTGAATACAAAACACTCCCAAATTCAAACTCCCAAACCCCATCAAAACTCAACAATAACAACACAATAAGCACTTCTATAATTTCATAACTCCAATAAGTTCCTCAATAACATTATAATATTCCATCACTTCAATACATTCATTTAAATATATCAAAATTCTAATGTTCTAACATTAAATAGTCCAAGTATCTCCCAATATATTATACACCAAAATAATTATTACATATAACATGCTTAAGTTATAAATGAAATAATACACAGTCTCCCAAAAATGTAATACTTATACATGCCATAATTTTTTAGTTACATAAAAATACTAAATCAACTACCAAAAAGATCTCTTCAACTTCTGATGCTTACTCTCAGGTCTTTAAGCAAGGCAAGCACAATCTCCAAACCTGCGCGTGATAAAAAATCAACGCGTGAGTATAAAACTCAGTGTGCTCATAAAACACCAACAAAACCAATGTGTGATGACAAAGCCATTACTTAAAAACCACCAATCACTTAGTATTACATTAAAATCATTAAATTTGAAACATGCAAGTACATATGCACACCAACACATCATGCTTTTAGAAATATCATTTATATCATAAATAAATTGTGGTAATAAATTAAGAGTTATTAACAATAATGTGATCTCATTTATTTCACTTCCTTAAAAAAATTGTATAAGGGCTCACATACACTAGGAAAAAAGAAGAGATAAGTTTTCATAGCCTTATTCATTAATGCGCCTTAGGGTCGCCAACCTTTCATAACATATAGAGCGCGGTCCGCCCTAACGTAAAGACACCCACGTGCCTGCATATGATCATGGCTCTTATCATAATGGCATTCAAATTTGCCGAGCATACTTCATCATACATAATTAAAATCAAAAATCATGCATCAAATCCACACCAGTATATTAGAGCCCAAAAGCATTTTCTCATAAAATTCCATTTTCTTTAGCCTTCTCATAATAAAAACTTTAATTTAAACTTAAGTATTCATAAAAAATTCTCACACTTAAACAAAATGACTTAACATAGGGAAAATTCCAGCATAAAAATTACATTGGACCTTGCTGCTGTTTAAACATAACTGGAGCTATGGGTCTCCAAAAATTTTAATGAAATTAGAGTCGTTTTTAGAAAGCTATAAGACAAAATCCACAAATGTATGAAGGGATCACAGCCCAGATCAATATGAAGATAACAAAACAAAAGCTAGGAACATAGTACTGGACAGACCCAGACCTGTTCAGCAGACAGACCAAGTCCATTGTTTCTTGAATTCCTTTACTAAACCCCACACTCAAATTTAAACCAATTCCAGAAACGAGAAATTCTCAAGGACACAGGAAAACAACTTTTTATGAAGAAACTCGGAACCTAATTTGTTCATATAGTGGTCAAAATGGGCACTTAAAGTCAGTGATGCATGTGCCCGACAACAAACAGGAGTCAGTTGGTGTTTCGCGCCATAATTGACGGTTATATATCTCCAACTTTGGACACAAGAGGATGGCGGTTGGAAAGCTAGAGATAGGACCTACAACTTTTATGAAGGACTCAGACAACAAAATTGGAAACTAGAAGGACCGAAAAAATGGTCCTAAATCTCACCTCAAAATCTCGGTTCCCAAATTCAGTTTACTTGAGCCATGAAAGGAAACATGCAACCACAAAGATTACAAGGTAGAAAGTCTACCACAACATAAATACTCATCAAACATCATCCAAGAGCATTGTAATGCGCAACCAAAATTCAACAAACCAATCATTTCATACAAAATCTCAAAAATTATACACATTAATAGCATTTTAAGGCACAAAAATCAAAAATTTGAGTAGGTTAAGTGTGTTTATTGAACCACTTAACCTTCAAAACAGCTTTAAACAAGCTTTAATCAAAGCTTCTCAAGCTTTGGTTCTTGCCTTTATCCTTATTAGAAGCTTCTCCACCCTCTACCATGGAAGAAAACTCAAAATCAAACAAAGGAGAAAACAAAGAAGAAAGAAGTAATTGCGAGCATAGATTAAGCATGTATATGCTAAAAAGACAAACTCTAAATTCCAAAAATAATCACTTATTCATAAAATCACTTACTTGACCCAAGCTTAGAAAAAATCACCAAATTCCTTGAAATTAGTCACCAAAAGATTACTTCTCTAGCCTTCCCACCTCTCTAAGATTTATGCCTTAAATCAAGTTTGGTTATGGGTTGTTTTACTAAGTAGGGAAATGAAAGCAAAAGAAGAAGAAGAAAAAAGAAGAAGGAAACGTGTATGGAGAAGAAGAAGGCAAAAGTTGGTGCTCAATATTGATAGTTGCTTTATTTAAAGCAACTAAAGCGGGTATTTTGGTCTTTTCTCCAAATATTCTCCAATAAATTTCCTTCAAAATATTATATTATCTCCACAAAAGTCTCTAATTTATTCCATAAAAATAATTCCTCAATTTCCCTCCATGAAAAAAAAAATAATTGCTTCAAATTCTTACTAATATAACAACCAATAATTCACTATTACTAAGTATCTAAATTCTCCCAAAAAATATTCCTTACTTACTTTCCTACCCCAAAAAAAACCATGCAACATGCCCAAAAATTTGTTAAATTAAAATAAAAACATAAAATAGTAATTTTTTCGGACAAAAAAAATAATACCAACTTCTGGACGGTGGTATTATTCACAGACCGGTAAACTACTATTAAAGACATAGGAAAAAAAAATTGGGG